TATTGTAATATTAGTTATGATTTGATTATGACTTATTATAATATTAATTATGACTCAATGTGATATTAGTTATGATATTATTGTATTTGTAATTTGAAAAAAAAAATTTGTTTGGTTCTAATTTTGAAAAAACAGTTTTTAGAAAATTCTACTATTTTATTTTCCGTATTTTAATATTTTCAATGAATTTTTTAATATTTTAAGTAAATTTTTTATATTTTTTGACATACTTAACATAAATACACTTAAAAATATAATATTTATGAAAAAAATCTTTTAAAAATACATTAATACCAAAAAATACAAAAAAAAAAAAAAACCAAAATTCAGTACATTTTTTTTTATATTTTTGTGTTTTATTAATTTTTTAAAATATTTTTTCACAAATATGTTACTATTTAGATACATCTAAGTAAGGTGCATTTAAAAAAGTAAAAAAAAATTATTTAAAATTTAAAAAATATTCACTAAAAATTAACAAATACGAAAAACAAAAACTCAATTTTTAAAAAATTGAATTCAAAAAATTGAAATCAAATACATTGATTATTTTTTATGTAGTGTTTAGTGATATTTTTTTTACAATTGTAATTAAAAAATTAATTATATCAAAAAGCAAATAGCATGACGGAAATGACCGGTACATTCATTGCTCTAGGGACATCATACAAGTAAAATCATATTAAACGACCTGTACTTTTATTTCATGTTAATTTCTTTAATGAAAATACAAAGAAGAGAGACAGAATCATTGCTTCTTCGTGTGAGCTACTTGGGGAGTGGAACAGAGATTTTTATAAAATACCCACACAAAAAAAAAAAAAAAAAAAAAATCTTCTAAATAAAAGTGTAAATGAAAAGTTCCTTTCATGTTTCAAATTTCAAAATATCAAATCTTTAAAAAAAAAAAAAAATTTTTGGGTGGCACTTTCACACACTTGAACAAGGGTTGGTAGCGAGTTGGGCTAGACAATAGTATAACAAATTGAGAAATTGGTGAAAAGTTTAGGAATGGTTGGCAAATTTTTTCGACTCAATTGTATTTGTTTTAATTTGATTTTAATATAAATAGCTTCAGAGCGTATTAATTGGGTAGGATAAAATATAGCGATAGGCAAGCCAAAACTATTAAGTTTATAATAAAATATTAAATTGTATCACTAAAATAATTAGGTTTAAAATTAAGAATTCGCATGCAAAATTCGATAAGGATATACCGGAAAAATTGCTGGTGGCAATAAAATAGTCATTGGAAAAGTCACCACCGTCGGCGGTGATCACAACAGCAAGTGGTGGTGGTGAGGTAAAAAAATGTTTGACATTCAACAGATAGGGTGTTTAATGAATGACATGTATTATATTTCAACAGGTAGGTAGTTTCATGAATTTTAACTGATAAACAAATTGAGTGATTTCAAGATACGACAGATAGGTTAATTTCAACAAATAATTGTCTTTTTGGACAAATTGTATCTTTTTGGCCCAAAAATATTAGATTTTGGGCCTAACCCAAAAGATTAAGAAATGAACTTATAGCCTAAGAACCCTAATAAATTAAGATTTTAAAGACAAAAATTTAGAGACAAAATAACATTTGGAAAAAAATATTTTAGTTGTCAAAAGTGTCATTGTTATATTTTTAGTAAGGAATAATTGGACATTTAGTAATGAATTACTATTCTTTATCAAAAAAAAGGTAAGCCAATGTTTTGTTTGGTTTTCAATTGAACATTTGGATCAAAAAAATAAAAAAACATGTTTGGTTAACCAATTTTTAAAACTTTTTCAAAATTATTTTTTCTCTCTCCTCTCTCTCCTTCTCTTTTTTTATTTATTAATAACTTAATCAATCAATTTTTCTCTCTCGTCTCTCGTCTCTCATCTCTCATTCTCTCACATGCTACACATCAATCACTCAAATTTTTTCTCACACTTATCTATTCAACTACAAAAATAAAAAAATAAAAAATAAATAAAAATCATCCCAAATTATTTCTAAAACTCATAACCAAACAAATTTTCAATTTTCAAAACTCTTTTCAACAATTTATCTTTTAAAATACAATTCAAAATTCAAAACTCTTTTAAAAAAATCAAACCAAACGGATCCTATAAATGCTTTGGCACGAAATTATTTTGTCTCTTAAAATGTATTTATTAATGATATTTTTATTTTGACTTTTCAGGACTACTCACACAATGATTGAAATTGAACTCCTAATTTTTTGTAACAAACTTATATTATGTAAATATATATATTATTTAAATTAAACTGTCCATTATAGAGGAAGATAAATTAAATCAATAAATGTGACAAATATATATATGCTAGAAAATATTTTTGGGTGGGGGGGGGGGGGGAAGGCATCAAAAGGAATTAGAAAAGATAATTTTGGAGGTGGCACAGGTGTGGGGTTGGCTGTATCTGTCCCTTTGCCTGCATAGACATTCAATGCCATTTGGCAAGATTAAGGCCTCATTTGGGGAGTGGCTATTTTAGCCAAAAAGTCAAAAAATCAACTAAAACTAGTCACATCACCTCTCTTCTTTTCTGCACATTTTTTTCGTAAAAAGTCAAAAAATTACTAAAATAGCCTGTTCCCAAACGAGGCCTAAGGTGATCAAAAATAGTTCCATGCAAACATACTCAATCCCCTCCCATCTCTGCCCAATACCTAATGCATCTATATGTATATATAACTAATAATTGTGATAAAAATCAAAATGTCATTATTGTAAAAGAAATTTTGTAATGCCTCTCAAGAGCACCATTGAGGGTGGTATGATGATCATATATGGAGCCAACTATCTCAGTGATTGCTTCGTATGTTTTTAACATTACAAGAAATTTGATCTAGTCTTGTAATGTTTTACTCAAAATTGTATGATGATGTCTGTTTTATTAAAATTTCAAAATTTATTTTTTAAAAAAAACTAATTCGGTAAGAAAAAATTTTAATTAAAATTTAAAACTCTCATTATTTTCATATGATTTTCTATTTTTTTGAGGTGAAAATAATTTTTAAAAATTCAAAAAATATTTTCTTTGTTTTTTATTTTTTTTTGGTCAAATTAGTTTCTAATTAAAAAATTCTAAAACTCAACTAGGTCAATGGGTGGGAGATTATATACAAATAGAAAGAGAAATAACCCGAAATACAATCAACTATATAGTAAAAAAACTAATATATACCCACAAACCTAATACCAACAATCACTATATCAATATAAAAAATAGACTAATAACAGAAGAGAAATATATAAATAAATAAATAAATCTAAATAGTAATCAGCAATGATTTCCAAAAATATAGTTACTAATCAACAATTAATAGGATTTTCAAATAGAAAATTTAATGAAAATAATATGATGGTGACATTCTTAAAATTATACGTCACAATGATAAGTGTTTTAGTTTAGATGAAAGGAGCATAAAACTATATATATAAATATTATATTTGTATATCATCAATCAATATGATAATTTTATTGGTAACCTAACAATCACCTTGTCCAAATCATTGTAATTAAACAACTTGGGTCGAAGTCAGTTCAATCATTAGGCCACTTAAGTAATCTCTTAAAACTTATAGAAGAAATTTCAAATTCTTATTATCGAAAGTTTAACTTTTTAAAATTCTAACTAGATAAAATTTTATTTTAATATTTAATTTGAGATGTCCAAAATTCTTGAACGACTACTCCCCTGAATGATCATATTCTTGGGTTGATGATGTTTGGGTAACATCACAAATGCTATTTGTGGCTACCATGTTATCTTCACTTACATTAGTACAATTTATTCCTTTTGGAGCGGAGGGATGAAATTAATTGTTTTTTCATTTCATTTTATTTTTTTGGAGATAGGGTTTTGTCCAAATGGGGTTCGTGTGGGTAGCATTCGACCCTTCTCGTTTTGGTTTGTCCTTTTATAACTTGTTTGTTTGGGTGTCATCAAGTCACGTGAATGTCTTTTCAGTATTACTCTTCATATAATTTCTACTCAAAAAATTAATGTTTAATCTGAATTCATTTTAAATATAGGTCTAAGATTTATTTTAGGAAGTAAGTTAAAAATTAGATTTTTATTTTTTAAAAAAATAAAAAAAATAGAGAAAGGATATAAATTAAAAAAACTGAACAACCAAAAAAATGACTTTTAGTCGAATCGTCAAAACAAACCTAAATAACAATTGGATTTTGTATCATTTTTTAAAAAAAAATGTTATAAATAAGCAAAATTTTTACTTAATTTTCTTGGACATAAAACATGAGTCTTATTTATATTTATTAATGCAAATTCCATTATCTTTATATCTAGTGATAAGAAAATTGGATAAGAAATCAATTCATGGGAGTGTTTGGCAATAGGTTTTTTTGACTTTTTAGACTAAAATAACACTAAAAGATAAAATAAGTTAAAATAGTCAATAATACGAGATGTTACATTAAATTCATAATCATTTTATTTTTTCTCTCACAAATATTACATTCAACTATAAAAAAAAATCCAACCCTCTTTCCAAACATAACTATTTTAGCCTACTAAAATAGCCAAAAACTAAAATATTCAACTTCTCAGACACCCCTTATGTATAGCATTAGCTTATAGGTATTTTTGTTCTCATACAATTTTAGGTACCGAGCTTTATGCATGTCTTATATGTAGTGTTTTTGATTTCTTATAATAAACTATAACGTAATGAAATGATCATTATAATGGAATGATCATTATATTCTCAACTATTGAAGGTTTCATTTTTAAGACACTTTGATTTTGAAACATAATTCAATAATTAAAAGTATATTAAGATATAAAATAAATAGAATTAAGAACACAACATGTGTTTGAATACCCATATTAGAATATATAATAATATCAATAATAATATGATTATGTATTGGTTAATATTCAACAATATCAATTAATATATCAATAAATAGAATATTTTAAAAATCTAAAATCTATATATGTATCCATTGTTATTTAAAACCTTCTAACAGTATACCTTGTGCCATTTCATCCAACTCATTGATTCATCCTATTGACGTAAAATAGTATCACCGACCCACCGTTGCACCCGATATTCACTTCTAGTCCTTTCTGTCTGTTAACTTCCCTATCTCAAGCCTCTTGCACCTTTGCTGGACAAAGAAGAAAGATCTATCATCTCTCTCTCTCTCTCTCTCTCTCTCTCCATGACTCCCACTTTCCCAAATTCATCATCTTCTCCTTTCCCTGCAGCTCTTAACCAAGATCAGCAACTTCAACTACTCTACACTGCAAAACCTCAACTACTCTACACTGCAAAACCTCAATCTTCTTCATCTTCTTCTCTCTCCAATCATGTCTTCACCTACTCAATTCAAGATCAAAGCACATGTCATCATAGGGAAGTACAGCAGCTAGACTATCAACAAGAGGTAATCCAATTCAGTTTCATCATATTTTTAACTTCTAGTTATGATTTTTTTTTGGATGATCACTTAAATCATTGTATCACTTTCTTGATCTCAGGCTAATAATTTTGCTTCACATGGAGGATCATATGATCATTCAGCACTTGATGTTGGTGGACATGAAAATCAAAGTGATCACACCGGTTGTTCGGCTAAGTGGATGTCTTCGAAGATGAGGTTGATGCGAAAGATGATGATGAACCCGGATCGAATGGGTACACAAACACCAGCCTATGGTCATCAAATGAAGTTTGGAGATCATCAGAAAAAACCATCATCTCCAATGGAAACTGATCATAGCACCACCAACACTTCTTCTAACAACAGCAACAACATCAACCCAATTAGGGTTTGTTCTGATTGCAACACTACTAAGACCCCTCTTTGGAGAAGTGGTCCTAGAGGTCCTAAGGTAACTAAATCTATATATATCCTTTCCAAACCCCACTTTTTGTACGAGTCTCGTGCACTGAATTGTTCTTCTTTTTTTTTCCTTTTTTTTAATTTTTTTTTATTTTTATCTAATCTTAACCAAATCTAAAACTTACTCAGAGCCGCTAATCATGTGCAATTATTATATTTCTCTAATAGGAGATAAGGTTTGAATACAAAGAAAAAAAAAAAGAAGACATTTTATACATAATTACAAAAGAAAAACAAAGGATCATTAAGCCAAAAGAAGACATTTGATTGCATATATGCTTGTTAAATTGTTATACAACAACTCATAAAAACTTAAGCTGTTACTAGAGAGAAGTAATTTTATTATTTTATATTCTCAAAATATAAAACATTGTGATGCAGTCACTTTGCAACGCGTGTGGAATTCGACAAAGGAAGGCGAGGAGGGCTATGGCTGCGGCGGCAGCAGCAACAAACGGCACAATTCTTGCATCCACAACTTCAACAGTGATAAAGACTAAGGCGCAACACAAAGATAAGAAATCGAACAATGGTCATAGAGCTCAATTCAAGAAACGATCCAAACTTCACACCGCCAACCCATCTCATGGAAGAAAGAAGAAGCTTTGCTTTGAAGACTTCTTGATCAATTTGAGTAAGAATTTGGCTTTTCACCAAGTTTTCCCACAAGACGAGAAGGAAGCTGCCATCTTGCTAATGGCTATATCTTGTGGCTTCGTTCATGGTTGAGTTTTCTAGCTACAAATCATTTGCTCCACACAAAAAACATATGAGACAGAAAAAAGACAAAGAGTGAGACAGGTGATCTTATATGGAATTCTCTACATATCTTTCTCGGTTTTTTTGTTTTCACAATAAGAATAGAGCATATTTGTGTGTGAGAACTTGTGTCTGAGAGTAAGAGAGAGTGTGATGATGAGTGATCGGAATCAAAAACTTAATAAAATCAAAAATAAATGTGTGTGGTGATCTACCGAGTTTAGTTGCGTGAATTTGAACATGTTGATAACCAAAATGTGGATCTCTTGTTCATCAATCTTTCAAATTATGATTTCAATTACTTAATTAATTGTCTCGAGATTTATCTGCTAAACTTCTATTATATGTTGCTTTATACTTGATTGTAGCAAATTCAAGTACACCTAGGCATTACATGTATAGGGATGGAACTAGAAGAAGATTATGGCCCCCCTGTTTCTATAAACATTATTGTTTGTCATAAAATTTTAAAAATATATATATTATTTTATATATAAAATGCCCCCAGTATAAAAAATATGTCATTTTTCTTCCATCTTGAATTCTCTTTTTATTTTACATTGAAAAAAAAACTTATTCATCCTATTTGAAATTGCTTCTATGATATTTAATTTTTCTTAATGTATATATAATTTATATATCGTATATACATACATGTGTGTTTTGTGTATGTGGTGGAAAAAAAAATAATTTTCTTTTGGCCCCTTCGATAATCAAATCCTAGTTCCGTCTCTGCATGTACATAAGGTGACAATAGACATGCTAGTTAAAATGATTAGAGAATGTTGTATGTCACTATTTTTTATTATTTTGCAATGCCATTTACATAAGACTCATACTTATATCATTTTCTTGAAAATAATCATCGAATAAATAATGAAGATGAAAAATATAGTCATATATTTAGTGATATAAAATAGTTTTTTTTTTTCTTTTAAAATGATATATAACAATGATCAAATGTTTAATATCGTACTACTACCAGACGATTTGATTACACCTTTTTTAGCTGAAAATTGTGAAAAAAAAATAATTTTTAGATATTCATCTCTATATGGCAAGGCAACTACTAAAAAAGTCTTTTGTTTTGTTTTGTTTTTTTTTTCTACTAATATTTAGTCACTAAAAACCTTTGCTTGCTTTTTTGACTACCAAATATTTAGTCGCCAAAAACTTCACTTCTTTTTTTGGCTAGTGTACGTTTAGTCGCCAAAAAATTTATTTAGTTTCTTTTTTATTAATTTCTCGATCACCTATATTTATTCCATTATTAGTGCAACATTTACCTTGTATATTAAACAAAACAATATATACATATATACATCCGCCATCTGCCACCCACCTGCCGCCACCCACCTGCCACAACCACCCGCCACCACCACCCACTTGCTACCACCCGCCACCGTCACCCACCCACCCGTCACCACCAGCTACCCACCCCCCACCGTCACCACTTTCCACCACCGTCTTCCTCCGCCACTTGCCACCACTTGTCATTTCTCACTCTTTTTTATATTTTTAAATTTTTTAAAATATTTTGTCAATTACCAAACGCGTTTGTAGTTTATGTTTTTCAAAAAATAAACAAAAATCAGTTTATAAAATCTTTGTAAATATAAACTAAAAACGTAAACGTTACCAAACAGACCCCTAGTGTTTTGTAATTCCCATTTTCCAACCCATTTTGGGTCGTGTTGAATTCGGATAGGTTCAACCCGCTTTCCATCAGGTCAACAGGATAGAATTAGGAGAAGATTAGGGTAGAATTAAGAGAAGCTTATGGAGGTTATCGTTCTCATGTTTTTGTAAAAATTAGTGTTTATTATAGAACTTTAAAAATATATATATTATTTTATACATAAAATAGTCTCTTAATATAAAAATATATATATGTCATTTTTCTTCCATCTTGAATTCTCTTTTTATTTTACATTGAAAAAAAAACTTATTCATCCTATTTGAAATTGCTTCTATGATATTTAATTTTTCTTAATGTATATATAATTTATATATCATATATACATACATGTGTGTTTTGTGTATATGGTGAAAAAAAATTAATTTTCTTTTAACCCCTTCGATAATCAAATCCTAGTTCCGTCCCTGCATGTATATAAGGTGACAATAGGCATACTAGTTAAAATGATTAGAGAATGTTGTATGTCACTATTTTTTTATTATTTTGCAATGCCATTTACATAAGCACTCATACTTATATCATTTTCTTGAAAATAATCATCGAATAAATAATGAAGATGAAAAATATAGTCATGTATTTAGTGATATAAAATAGTTTTTTTTTTTTCTTTTAAAATGATATATAACAATGATCAAATGTTTAATATCGTACTACTACCAGACGACTTGATTACACCTTTTTTAGCTGAAAATTGTGAAAAAAAAAATAATTTTTAGATATTCATCTCTATATGGCAAGGCAACTACTAAAAAAGTCTTTTGTTTTGTTTTGTTTTTGTTTTTTTTGTTTTTTTTTGTTTTTTTTTTTGTAACTTTGTCTTCAGTGAAAAAAAAAATTTGCGTTACTTTCTTTTGCTAATTAGGTCCTAGTGTAGAATGATATAAAATATTTTAAGAAAAGTCTAAAAATGGTTTTTAAAAAAGAAAATGCATGAGACTTAGTGGGAGTGCTGGGGTCTCTTCCTATTGGCCAAAAAAATTATTATTATTTTTTTTTTTTAGCCAATGACAGCGCGCCACGTCACTGGGGTGCCACTAGGGATCGGAAGCATCACTTTTTAAAAAATAGCTTTTTAGCATTTGTCAAGTGCATAAGCTTTTAACAAAAATTTTATCGTAAATGGTAAAAAAAATACCAAAAAAAACAACTGTGAAACCCACCCTGAATCAATTTGTTGATGGTGATTTCAGAGAATTCTAGGGTTGTATATGTAGGCTGTGCATATAAAAGAAAGAGTCATGTTAATGAAAGCCAATTGAGTTCTCAATGAGAGAGAAAATGTTTTAAAAAATAGAATTTTAATGTAATTTTTACTCATCACAAAATATTTTTTTATATTTTTATACATTTTTTTACAAATACCTCCCAAACAATAGTACTAATCGGCCATTGTTTTTTATCAAATTTATCAATGGCACAAAAGATTGTCATTAGCATGTTCTTAAAAGAGAGCAACAGTATCTACTCGCCTTTATGCAGCAACTAGGGGTGGGTGCGGGTCGGTTGCGGCCACGAAACCTCCAATCCGTCATCCGTCCGCCAGATTGGCGGATTGAAGAAAATCAATCCGCATCCGTCCGCCACTGATGTGACTTGCCAATAAATCTCAACCATACACTGTAGCACTTTAGGAAACTTTAGGAAAATTTCACTCTAGAGGATCCTTGGTGTTATGCAGCAACCTAGCTAACTAGATCATAGATGTTACCGGATGAATTTTAAAAGTTTATTTATTTATTTATGTTTTTGGTCTTCTATACGAGTTTACAAAATAAATGACATAGGTATATAGAGAATCTTAAGGGATTGTTTGGGATATCTTAAATAAGCGTATTTTTTTATTTTTTGGACTTAAAAATTGAGGAAAAAAATATGATTGTTTGAGTTAATTTTTTGACTTTTTATAGAAAAATGTGTATTAAAAAATTGTATAAATTAGTGTGTAGGAAAATATTAGGATTAGGAGTTGTGCAGTCGTACTTGCTGGCAGTGGAATTGATGCTAAGTAATGATTGGCTACTTTTCAGGCATTGCACTGGACGGTTTTGTTCGGCTCATGGGGCCATCACGGGTCCTATTTTGATAATTTGAACCGTTCAATGTGTAGAACTCGTCGAGTACTATATGCTTATAAAAAAATCACGTTAATCGGATATTGATAAATATCTAATCAGATTTGTTTTTTTTTCAATCGTTAATTATAACACCATCTTTTTTTTTATACAAAACTGATTTGATCATGTAGTTATCGATATCCGATCAATGTGATTTTTTACAGACATAGTACTCGATGAGTTCTACATATTAAACGGTTTGGATTATCAAAACGGGACTCGTGATGGGCCACCACAGGCCGAACAGCAGTGTGTGAAAATTGCACCAAAACTGTGCAATTTTTTCTTAACAAACGCATCAATAGAGCTGAATATGTCAGATTCTGAGTTATAATTTTATGTGAAAAATTAATTTTTTAATTTTTTTTTTGTGAATAATGATAATTTTTTAACTTTTTGAGTAACTTTTTAACTTTTTGGAGACATGCCAAACTTGGCCTTAATAAGATCTATTGTTATTTTTTCAAATATGGCAAGTCTTATATGTTGGAAGTGAGAGAAGGGTGTATACCGGTTGTGTAGATATATAATTGAAAACACAAACATAATATTTAAACAAATTGAAAATACAAAGTCTTATAAATTACTACAGGTGCTCGCGATTTGGCGGTTTGGCGGTTTGGCGGTTCGGCGGTTCGGTTGCGGCCAAAAAATCTCAAATCCGCCATCCGTCCGCCAAATTGGCGGATTGGAGAAAATCAATCCGCAACCGTCCGCTCATCATCACGCATCCGTCCAAAATGCGGCGAATCGGTTCGGTTCGGTCGGTTTTGGCGGATCGGTATATCCGCTGCTCACCCCTAGCAGCAACCTAGCTAACTAGATCATATATGTTACCGGATGAATTTTAAAAGTTTATTTATTTATTTATGTTTTTGGTCTTTTATATGAGTTTACAAAATAAATGACATAGGTATATATAGCATCTTAAGGGATTGTTTGAGATGTCTTAAATAAGTGTATTTTTTGACTTTTTGGACTTAAAAATTGAGGAAAAAAATATGATTGTTTGAGTTAATTTTTTGACTTTTTATGAAAAAATATGTATTAAAAAATTGTATAAATTAATGTATAGGAGAATTTTAGGATTAGGAGTTGTGCAGCCGTACTTTCTGATAGTGGAATTGATGCTAAGTAATGATTGGCTACTTTTCGGGCGTTACACTGGACGGTTTTGTTCGGCTCATGGGGCCATCACGGGTCCTGTTTTGATAATTTGAATCGTTCAATGTGTAGAACTCGTCGAGTACTATATGTCTATAAAAAATCACGTTGATCGGATATCGATAAATATCTAATCAGATTTGTTTTTTTTTCAATCGTTAATTATAACACCATCCATTTTTATATACAAAACTGATTTGATCATATAGTTATTGATATCCGATCAATGTGATTTTTTACAGACATATAGTACTCAATGAGTTCTACATATTGAATGGTTCAGATTATCAAAACGGGACTCATGATGGGCCACCACGGGCCGAACAGCA